AATAGTATAAGTTTAATTCACTACATTTTTTAAATGTTCACCTAAATTAAAGTTACATTTTGAAAAGACTTGGTTTAGAAGTTGTTAAACCTCCCACAGCAAAGACAACGCACACAGACTGCTTAATTTCTGCATCAATCTCATATTCATTGGCATTTCAACACATACACTGCTTCTGCTGCTGCAATGATGTAAGAATAACGTCAGGTTGGAAAACCTAAAAAATGGGTTAAACGCCCAGCTGTAAAAGACTTTCTCAGAGCCTAATAATGATGTCATGCTGTCTGTGTTTGTTTTGCTTAAATAAAGCAATCATTTAAGTTCTACCTGTTTGCAATGATATGATGTGAGAAACTTAATCTCTGCCGGATCTGTGTTCTTATTCTCCTTTACTGCTGCAGAAATCTAAATACCAGATGAAAAGAGGTGTTGGCAGGACATCGCTCATCACTGAAGGACAAGGATGTTTTACCCATTTCCTATCACCTGAGTGAACTCTGTGATAATAAATTGAAATTGCACATTGAAATCTTGGGACACACGCAGACTGCAAAATAAAATAAAAAAAACAAACAAAAAAACATCAACAAATTGGAGAAACATTCAACAGCACAAACCTGTGTATCCAGAGTTGGTTGGGTGGCCTTTAGCTCGGGGGGTGGCCCATGTTAGGAGTGTTGATGGTGTACGATGTGGGTATCAATTGTAACGCCCCTTGGCGAAAAACGCGGCACGCATCCTGGGACACAGAAGGTGAGCTGGACGCCGGCCCATGTCAACCTGCCGCCTGTTCCAGCTGGGGTTGTGTCAGGATCTCCTGGGCGGTGCAGAACAGGCCCGTCTTTGTCCAACAGGGGCTGCGTGTGGCTCACTATCTTAAGAGAGTCATAATCACATTGGTGATTGGGGTGTTAACAGGCCTCCACAGCTGTTGGGGAGCGGTGGCTCATGGGAAAGCATGACCAACCGCTGGCCGGTTACAGTATGTGTTAATCTTTGCAAACATAGAAGGCACATGTGTGTTTATAGCTGTGTGTCTTAGTTCATTACTGCATCTAGAGCTGCTATACAGCAGAAAATGGTAAACTACCCCTTTTTCCTTTACCTAACTTTTAAAATTGCCTTAATTTTCTGCCACAAACTTCCAAACATTTCCTTGGGATTTTATTTGACACCAGGTTGAATGACTTACATTTGTAATTACATAAACAAGTTTTTCCTCAAATCATACATAACAAGCCCAAGGCCTGAATCTAATCTAACTGGTAAGATATTTTATTTCTGCCCCCCTGTATGGTATAGAGCTATCACCAACCAAAACAGAAATCACATAAAGAGTCAGATGCTGCTGTGAATTATATAGTTTACTGCATATTTTGCAAAGTATGTTCAATCAGCAGTTCAATGACTTTGAAGAGCAAAAATGAATCTAAAACTTTTGTTGTTTTTTTTTTTTTTATGTAAAGAGATGGTCTGTAGCCCAATCAGCTGAAGATGGGAGTCTGCAGGTGCTGCACAATATTTTCCATTCATCCCTGATATGAATGGCCAACCCCTCCTTCAAACTGCTTGTAATCTTTGAATATTTAGCAAAATTAATTGCTGCTACAGAAGGAAATATTTTCTGTGACAAGTAGAGCAAGATCACCAAGATAAACTGTCTTTGAGTTTTAAATCCTGCCTTACATTACAAATGTGATTGAGGCCAATACTTTGACTTTGCCTTTGTGACAGACACATATACTTTGATATAGAACTTTGCTCAAAAGCTCTAGCTTTAGTTGACCCTCTAACAATTAGCATTAGCATTTCCCATTTTTGCAAAAAGCCGTTTCTGACCCCCCTGCTGTGAAGCTGTGTGGCCTCTGTGCCCCACCGGTGCGTGTCGTGACGCAATGACTGGTTAGTGTTGATGATGTCTTCAGTGCAAGAGAAATCAGGAAAGTAATCAATGGAGAGAAACATGGAAGGGAGCCAGGGCATAGTCAGATTGCTTTAATGTTTCGCTCTTTTGTCCTTCTAGAGCTCTCATGCCAGTTTTGCCCCTTGATTATCGAAAGCAAGCAGAGATGTTTTGGCTTGTTATATCAGAATACAAACAGTATGATGTTGTGACGAACTTACATTGCACTCGAGGGTATCACGTGAATTAGCGGGTTGAAGCAGGTCTGTGTTGCCACTGTATGCCGATAGGAGCTGTGCATTTTGAAGGCTGGTCAGTAAGTGACTAAACGTCACAATTCAGAACTGTGGGACCCAGTATTCAGACAAGACAGACAGCGGGATAATTTTAAAAGCAATTACTTACAACTGTCGGACCTGAGGCAAAAAAATCTGGAGAGAGGAAAACACTGGTTAGTGACCACATTAATCTAAAGGACGAAGTTTATGAATGTGAGTCACTAACCTGGTTTACAACTTTAGTCCATGATACCCTGGGCACTGCCCAGAGTGCCCCTGATGCTGCAACCCTGGAGAATATGTAGGAGTCCAAAGTCAGGTCAGCCAAACAGATTAGAACAGCAACAGGCAGGCTCAGAGATCCAGGAGTCCGAAGACAGTTCAGGCAAACTGTTCAGACGAGAACAGAGAAGCTCATTGGTTGGGAGGCAGAACATGTCAGGATCAGGTAATCAGAAACACTCAGGTACACTAAAAACACTCTCACCACTGAGATCAGACAGGAGCAGGCAGGAACAGGATAGAGAGAAGAATAATAATCTGGCTCTGATGATTGGATACAAGCACCTTGAATAGAGGCAGGAGCAGGTGGATCAGATGAGCAGCGATTAGAAAGTGGGCAGAGAGACAGGTGAATGAAATTAGCAATTAAGCCACTCATCAGTGCCAAGATCATTACACTAAAAACTGATTGTTAGCAGGTTTAAGCATCTTGTTTTCCTGTGGGAATGGGGCACCACTTGTCACCAACTGCTGTACAAGAGTGACCTGGTGTTGTGACATGTCAATCATCTGGGGGGACCAATCAGATTTCATGGGCAGGTTAATTTGCTGCCCTTGTCTAGCGGAGCCTGCTTTAGGCCCAGCACTTCAACCAGCTTAGACAGGTGTTTAAACTTCACCTTCAAACAGTCCAAAACAACACATATTTTTACAAATGCAATATCAAACCTTTACACAGGCACCAAAAATTGGAGGCAGACTTGATAACTGTGGATCTTTTCTCAGTTTATTTCAATAATGCATTTACTAGGAAGAAATATCTTAAGCTTTAACAGGTTAACACGTTAAAACCTTCCTAGCCAGAAAGGAAATGCAAAAAGAAAAAATAATTTTGAGCTCCAACAGGGGTTTTTAAGATCTTTTGATAGGCAACCCAAAAATAGCTAAGATGACCTGAAGGCTGTTTTAGGGAGCAGTGTTCAGGAACAGGGATGGAGTGCCTCCCATCCATGCTCCCATCCATGCTCTGATTCATGCTCTGATTCATGAGTGGAGTCAGCCTTTCAGAGTAAATATCATGTTCTCTGTTGCTTTCAGCACCTGTTTTTGCATTCAAAGAACTGGACAGACTCCATTGCATACATATAGGAGGGGTCTATCCTAAGGAGCCCCAGTAATAGATGAGAAAGAGAGCGAGCTCTTTGCTGTGATGTCACTGAACTGATATGGCCCATGCCAGGCTGTTTCCAGGTTTGCTGTGGAGGCAACACAGGCTTGGTGGTCCAACCATGTTTACCCCTCCAGCTGCATGCGCAGTCTTGTTTAAACAAAGTGGGTGCCTTCCCTCAGCCCGCGGACGTCATCAGGGCAGTCGAGCATTGATGTGGCCTTTTTCTGGAGCACCCTCAACAGAGAGAGCAAGAGAGAGAGATTGGCAGCTGAGAAAATCATACTGCAGCAGCCTGTCGTCCTTGTTGCTGGAAAAGATAGATATGGGCCAAAAAAAAAAATGGTGGAGCTGCATCAAAAATCCTCCTGGCAGGCTTGCCCCAATTTTGGATCTGGGGATGAATCATTCTGCCAAGGACTGAGCATTCTTCCGCCCCACAGCTTCCGAACGCCCTCTGTATTTCCTGTAGATTCATCACCTGTTGCCGGCTTTCTGCAAACTTAAACTAAATTTAACTGTAATTCTGCTGCACTTTATAGTTGAAGAAAAGCTCATCTAGCCAAATATAAAGCATCACTGCATAGTTTCAGATTTGGATCAAATTATATTTCAGGTCACAATACAACAAATGTGCTTACTGATGCTCCATGCAGGCTGCCTTTCTCAAAACTTGCATATGTAATTTGAGAGTGTCAATCTCTCACTGAATGGGTCATGTGACACAGAACATTGCTGTCTGAGCTCCCCATAAACACTTGAGATAATTCAACTAAAATGTATTATTATACAACAAAAGTTTACTATAGACGGTGATATTTTCTTAAAAACTTCAATAAGCCAATAAAAACATATATTTGTATATATATATATATATCTGCAAATTATGAAGTACACATATTAGATCAGTTAATGGACTGTGTATATAAATAGAGGTAATTAAAACCTAAATGTTGAACATTAAGTGCACAAACAGAGCTTCTCTGTGCTCAGTACACTCACCAGTTGTAGTATATATCTTCTGGAATTACCTTAAAGCCAAAAAAGTAAAAGTGAAGTTTTAACCATTCTAAAATCCAAGGGAGGATTTGTGATCTGAGTCCTGCATCGCTCACTGGACTTTTAAGGTACAATCTGCACATACTTCTTTGAGCTCCTGTAGGCTTTACATCACAGCGGAGGAGACTGGAGGCAATATTGTATAAATAAGGTGGCCGGTTTGCAGAATATTGGACGGGGACAGAGTGGAAAGGAGCTGGATGAAGTCTAAATTGGGGGTAATAGCATACAATCTTGCTTGCTGAAAAAAGTCCATTCCCCAAGATCTACTTTCATATGGCTGATGGCAGCAGTGCAGGTGGACATACTGTATCTATGTTAATGTAAATGTTAATTTACTGACTGGAAAGCTGTACTAAACAAAAATTAATTAGTATAGACAGAGTCTATACAAATGAAATGACAATAAAAGTTGTCTAAGTTTAAAACAGAGCAATATGTCTTTTCTGCATTTTCTTTTCATTGATTAACTGTCAAAACTTTTTGAGTTTCATGTTTATTATTTTCAACAAAGTGAAGATATTTTCAAAATATGAATCACGTTTCAAAGACAACAACAGAGACTTTTTAAATATTTTGAAACAGTGAAGAAATTTGATGGCGTATGCTTAATATGGATATCCAGATATCCACAATCTAACAGGCAGATTATGTAAATGACCACTAAAGCTAATACTTGCACTCCTATCCTTGTGTCCCTCTAGTGAGTGTTAATGTTAACGGGTTATGGTGGGTAGAGTGTGGAACTTTTACCACATCATACATGTGTTAATGCAAAACGACTATTGCTGTTTTAAAAGTATTTTTAGTTTCAAGATTGCAAAACAGCAACTGGTCCTGCCACATTTGATATGGAACAGATAACATAACATAACCTTTGATATACGAGTTGTTCAGTTTTGCACGTTGCCAACCTATGCACTTCAAGCAAGTCCACACTTCATATAGGGGCATAGGTTGTAGTGTGGATATTGAGACAGGGCCTTGGAAACCTAGATATTTGGATAAAGCATCTGGTCACGCTTTCTCCTGATGAAACCTGAGGAAACTACTGACTGATAATAAAGAAACAATATTGTTGGTGGTTAAGAGAAATCTTTTAGGAGGCTTTACAAACTTGAAAGACCCAACTGGGTGTGCTTGGAACATCTCTTGGGGCCTAATTTCAGAGTTGTTTTCAACTCCCACCTCCAGGACAGGTTTGGATTCCAGGCGAGGGTGGAGAAATAAGCTCCATTTACACTA